ATAAGAGGGGCGCCTGGGCCGCTTAGTGGGTTAAGCATCAGCCTTTGCCTCAGGTCATGATCCCAGAGTCCTGGGATCAACCCCCACGTCGAGCTTCCTGCTTACCAGGAGAGTCTGCTTCTCCCTTTCCCTCTGCCCCTACCACTGCTCATGCTCACTTTCTCTCTCTCTCTTTCTCTCACTTTCTCTCTTAAATAAATAAATAAAATCTTTAAAAAAAATTATAAGAAAAAAATGAAAGATGTAAGACCAGACACCATAAAACTCCTAGAAGAAAACAAAGGTGGTAAGCTCCTTGGCATCGGTCTTAGTGATATTTTTTGGGATCTGACTCCAGAAGCAATGGCTACAAAAGCAAAAATAAACAAATGGGACTCCACCAAACCAAAAGGCTTCTGCACAGGGAAAGAAACCATCAACAAAATAAAAAAGGAACCTACTGAGTGGGAGAAGATATTTGCAATCACATATCAGATAAGAGGTTAATACCCAGAACATACAGAGAACTCATATAGGTCAGTAACAAAAAAACCCAAGCAATCCGATTTAAAAAATGAGCAGAGGATCTGAATAGGCATTTTTTCCAAAGAAGACATACAGACCAATGAAAAGATGCTCAACATCGCTAATCATTAGGGAAATGCAAGCCAAAACCACAGTGAGATATTACCTCACACCTGTCAGAATGACTGTTATCAAAAAGATAAAAATTAACAAGAGTTGGCAAGGCTGTAGAGTTGTTGGTGAGACTACATTAGTTCAGCCACTGTGGAAAACAGTATGGAGGTTGCTCAAAAAATTAAAAATAGGGGGCACCTGGGTGGCTTAGTCGTTAAGCGTCTGCCTTCGGCTCAGGTCATGATCCCAGAGTCCTGGGATCGAGCCCCGCATCGGGCTCCCTGCTCGGCGGGAAGCCTGCTTCTCCCTCTCCCACTCCCCCTGCTTGTGTTCCCTCTCTCGCTGTGTCTCTCTCTATCAAATAAATAAAATCTTAAAAAAAAAAAATTAAAAATAGAACTACCATACAATCCAGCAATTCCACTTCTGGGTATCTATATGAAGAAAACAAAAACACAAATTCAAAAAGATATATGCCCCCCCCTATGTTCTTTATAGCATTGTTTATAATAGCCAAGATATGGAATCAACCTAAATGTCCCTCAGTGGATGAATGGATAAAGAAGATGCAGTGTGTGTGTGTGTGTGTGTGTGTGTGTGTGTGTGTGTGTGTGTATAACAATGGAATACTATTTGGCCATAAAAAGGAATGCAGTCTGAGAGAAGTTAAGATGGTGGAGTAGTAGGGGGACCCTGAGCTTGCCTCGTCCGTTGAACACAGCTAGATCAAATCATTTTGAACACCTAGGAAATCAGTCTGAGGTTTAAGAAAACAATCTGCACAATTGGAGGGAGCAAACATGGGAGATGTGAGGTTCAGAGTCATGAATTGGGGGAGAGAAAAGCTGTGATGCCACGAAGGTGAGGGAACCCTTTTTGTGGAGCAAAGTCAGGAAGAGAGGGAGAAGAGTGGGAGAGAGAGCAGCATGTAGTGTTCGTACAATACACCATGGTGAGGGGATCCCCTGGGTCGCACTGGAAGAGATCACTCCCCTTCCTGGAGTACATTTGGAAGAGGGTATTTTGCCTCTCTAAGGACAAAGGGCGCACAGGGAGCCAGTGAGCAGCCGTTCAGCAGCAGGGACAGAGAGGCACGGGCAGACCTGGTCACAGCTTTTCTCTGTGCATCACAATAGACTTCAGCCACTGTGCATACGTCATGTGACTGCTTTTCTGGGACAGAACAGTGCCAGGTGCACTGTGAGGCTCTCCTCCAGGGGAGGGGAGCAGGTCAGAGCCTTGCCAGGCCCTTTAAGATTTGAAGTTCTGAATCCCAACCACCAGCCAGAGATAAAACAGGAGAATTGTGAACCGGGCATGCCAACAGCTGGGCACAGACAAGTTGAGGGCAGTAATCTGACCAAAGCCTAGAACACAGGCGCTTGTTCCCTTTTCTGTGAGGGCCTCCTGAACAGCGGCAGCCCCAAGTTTTCCCCTCTGCAGACAGACAGGGAGGCACCATCTTCCACCCTCCCTGCCGCCCAGCACTGTCAGACTTCAGAGAGAAACAGCGCCTCCAGTGGAGGCTGGAGTCCCTTACACCAAACCCCATCCCCTGCTCCGTGCAGGGGCATCTTTCCAAGGGCAGGTCTAACTGTGAGCCAGCACAGCTGGCCTCTCCCTCAGAAGACCAACACAGGCACCCCTGAATGTACCAGGTCTGATGATCGTAGAGTGCTCCAACGCATCAGCATCAGTTCTGGTGGAAATAGGACCAGGCTTGCTTGCTTGCTTTTAAATTAATTTTTTATATAGTATTTTATTTTATTTTTTATCTTTATTTTTTGTTGGGGATTAGACTTATAGTTTTAGATTGTTGGCTTCATCAGGCTTATAGTTGTTTTTCTGTTTGTTTGTTTGTTTGTTTATAGACAACTCATTATTTAATGAGTCTCATCTGGGGACAGAAAGGGGAGGTCGGCCAGCCCTCTTCACATGGTTTTGTGCAGTTAAGTCCTTCAAAGGACCAAGAGTGAAATCAAGTCATTTCTCCTCCTGAATTTTTCCTTCTTATTTTTCTTTGTTGTAAGGTATATATATATAAATGTATGAGTATAGGGACATTTTTATAAAAGAGAAGGGATCTCCTGTGAGGGAGGAAATCAGACAATAAATCCAAAAACACTATGGAAATTACAAATCTGAACTTGGGGGAGGGTGGGAGGCAACACGCTCGTTTCACAGAGCCCTTCCTTACACGCCATGCAGCTGTCCTCAAAAGTGGGAATGGAACAGACCAGACACTCAGCTGCAGGACGGAGCCGGGGTCTGGGCTTCAGAGCTGTTCATGTCTTTGGGATTGGGCTGGGCATCAAGCACCTTATCCGGAATAGGCCAGAGAAGGTAAGTCCAGTTTGGTTTTCAAGGCTTTAGTCAGCTCCGTGGCCAGCAGCTCGTGGAGGGACATGCCTTCGTGTGCATACACCCAGTTCTTCCCCATCCAGTCGTAGTGCTTGGGCCCACTGAAGGGTGAAGTTAACCAGATCTGCTTGTTTGGGGTCTGCTTGTTGATCAGGTAGGTTCCTAGATCTCCACCCAGTTTAACTGTTAAAACACCACTCCCAAAGGAGACATCATAGTCTTCGAATGTGTAAGGTTTGTCTGCGAGGTCTTCGAAAAACTCTGCTAAGGAATCCAGTGTCTTCTCCGCCAGTCTTTCATAGCTGGTCTCATCCAGAGAGCCAGGGTCGCCCGAAGTTCCTGCTGTCCTCATATCAAACAGACACTCTGCTTTTTGACAGTCATGATCTGATTGAGGCGGTGGAGGTTGACTAATGTGGCTGGGTACGCGGGTCGCTCCGTTCCTGATGTGCAGGCCCCAGGGGCCGTAGAGTGGGGCGTTCCTCATGGATCCCGGGGGCCGGTGCCCACGGGGACTGAGCCCAGGGGTGCCGAGCGGCACCCCAGCATCCTCATGCTGTTCCCAGTCTGCAGCCGCTCCACCCTCCCGCTCTGGGGACGTGGCGGCGACACCTGGTGGCTATGGGTGGCAGGCGTCAGGGTTCGGCTCCTCTCTAGGCTTATAGGTTTTTCTTTGTTTCCTTTTATGTTCCTTTTCCTTTTCTCCTTTCTTGGATGAGGTCTTTTTTTTAACCAGGTTTATCTTAACAAACAAATCAAACCACACCACACCCTACTGCAAGCAAGGAGGAACTGTGTAGAAGACTCACCTGAGGGAAAAAGCAGCCAAAACACATCAGAATGCACACAACATACACCAGAAACACTTACTGAAGCACCAGGTTGTGGACAGTGTATGACCCCTTCATAATACAGTATTACTCTCAGGAGCAGGAAACATAACAAGCTTTCATAACACAAAAAAACCCAGAAACCTAGACATAATAACAAGATGGAGGAATTCTCCCCGAAAGAAAGATCAAGAAGAAATCACAGCCAGGGATTTGCTCAAAACAGAAATAAGCAATATAGATGAACAAGAATTTAGAGCAACAGTCAAGAATACTACCTGGGCTTGAAAGAAGCATAGAAGACACCAGAGAAACCCTGGCAGAAGAGATAAAAGACCTAAAAACTAGTCAGGCCAAAATAAGAAATGCTATAACTGACATGCAAAACTCACTGGATGTAACCACAATGAGGATGGAAGCAGAGGATCAGTAGGTGATATAGAAGATAAAATTATGGAAAATACTGAAGCTGAAAAAAAGAGGGAAAGAAAACTATTAGATCACTAAAGTAGATTTAGGGAACACAGCAATTCCACAAAGCACAATAATATCTGTATCATAGGAGTTCCAAAAGAAGAGCAGGAAAAGGGGGCAGAAGGTTTATTTGAACAAATTACAACTGAGGACTTCCCTAATCTGGGGAAGGAAACAGGTATTCAAGTCCAAGAGGCACAGAGAACTCCCCTCAAAAATCAACAAAAACAGGTCCACACCAAGACATGGTGAAGCTTGCAAAATACAAAGATAATGAGAATTCCGAGACAGCTGGAGACAAAAGGTCCTTAAACTACATGGGTAGCCACATAAGGTTAACAGCAGACCTGTCCACAGAAACTTGGCAGTCCAGAAACAAGTGGCATGATATATTCAACGTGCTAAATGGGAAAAATATACAGCCAAGAATACTTTATCCTGCAAAGTTAATCTATTCAGAATAGAAGGAGAGATAAAGAGTTTCCAAGACAAGCAAAAACTAAAGTTGTTCAAGAATGCTAAACCAGCTCTGCAAGAAAAACTAAAGGGGACCCTTTGAGCACAAGAGAGAGACCAAAAGCAACAAAGACTAGAAGGAAAGAGAAATCTACAAGAACGGTGACTTTTACAGGTAATACAGTGGCACTAAATTCATATCTATCAATAATTACTCTGAATATAGATGGACTAAATACTCCAATCAAAAGACATAGGGATTCAAAAAGGTTTTAAAAAAAAGACCCATCACTATGCTGCTTACAAGAGACTCATTTTAGACCCAAAGTCACCTCCACATTGAAAGTGAAGGAGTAGAGAACCATCTGTCACCCTAATGGACATCAAAAGAAAGCTGGAGTAGTAATCCTTGTATCAGACAAACTAGATTTTAAACCAAATACTGTAATAAGAGATGCAGAAGGGCACTATATCATAACAAAGGGGTACATCCAACAAGATCTAACCACTGTAAATATTTATGCACTCAACTTGGAAGCAGCCAAATATATAAATCAATAACAAGCTTAAAGAAACTCACTGATAATAATACAATAATAGGGGACTTTAACACCCCCTTCACAGCAATGGACAGATCATCTAAGCAGAAGATCAGCAAAGAAACAACGGCTTTGAATAACACACTGGACCAAATGGACTTAACAGACATATTCAGAGCATTTCATCCTAAAGCAGCAGAATATACATTCTTTTTGCATGCATATGGAACATTCTCCAGAATAGATCACATACTGGCTCACAAATCAGGTCTCAACCCATACAAAAAGGTTGAGATCATACCAGGCATATTTTCAGACCACAATGCTATGAAACTTGAAGTCAACCACAAAAAAAATTTGGAAAGACCACAAATACATGGAGGTCAAAGAACATCCTACTTAAGAATGAATGGGTTAACCAAGAAATTAAAGAAGAAATTTAAAAAATACATGGAAACAAATGAAAATGAAGAAAAAACAGTCCAAAGCCTTTGGGATGTAGCAAAGGCAGTCCTGAGAGGGAAGTATATAGAAATCCAGGCCCTTGGGCGCCTGGGTGGCTCAGATGGTTAAGCGTCTGCCTTCGGCTCAGGTCGTGATCTCAGGGTCCTGGGATCGAGTCCCGCATCGGGTTCCCTGCTCAGTGCAGAGCCTGCTTCTCCCTCTCCCTCTGCCACTCCCTCTGCTTGTGCTCTTCTGTCTATCTCTCTGTCAAATAAATAAATAAGATCTTTAAAAAAAAAAAAAAAAGAAATCCAGGCCCTTCTCAAGAAACAAGAAAAGTCTCAAATACACAACCTAACCTTACACTTAAAGGAGCTGGAGAAAATATAGCAAATAAAGCCTAAGTCCAGCAGGAGAAGGGAAAATTAAGATTAGAGCAGAAATAAATAATATAGAAATAAAAAAAGAGAGTAGAACAGATCAATGAAACTAGGAGCTGATTCTTTGAAAGAATTAACAAAATTGATACACCCCTAGCCACACTTATCAAAAAGAAAAGAGAAGGACCCAAATAAATAAAATCACAAATGAGAGAGGAGAGATCATAACCAACATGGCAGAAATACAAACAATTGTAAGAGAATAATATGAAAAATTATATGCCAACAAATGGGGCAATCGGAAAGAAATGGATGAATTCCTAGAAACTCATAAACTACTAGTGAAACAAGAAGATATAGAAAACCTGAACAGACCCATAACCAGCAAGGAAATTGAAGCAGTAATCAAAAATCTCCCAACAAACAAGAGCCCAGGGCCAGACGGCTTCCCAGGGGAATTCTACCAAACATTTAAAGAATAATTAATACCTATTCTCTGAAGCTGTTCCACAAAATACAAATGGAAGGAAAACTTCCAAGCTCATTCTATGAGTCCAGCATTACCTTGATTCCAAAACCAGACAAAGACCTCACTAAAAAGAGAATTACAGACCAATATCCCTGATGAGCATGGATACAAAAATTCTCAACAAGATACTAGCAAAAGGATCCAACAGTACATTAAAAGAATTATTCACCACCACCAAGTGGGATTTATCCCTGGGCTACAGGGATGGTTCAACATCTGCAAATCAATCAATTTGATACACCACATTAATAAAAGAAAGGATAAGAA